CTTGTCTGGGGCAGAGCTGCCTGAGGGGAGTGTGGCCATGGGTGCCGTGGCACTCTACACTTACCGGCCCATCAGGGAGTGCACGCCTCCCTCGAGTGCAACACACACACACGGTTCAGACCGTCTGGACTTAAACCGGCACGAATGCTTCACCTCCTGAGCCAGCTCGGCACCGGAGCTCCCTCCCAGATCCCGCACAGCAACGGCCTGAGCCAGCCTGGAAGTTCAGCTCCGGGGTCAGAGGAGAAAGGAGGCAGCGGGGCCCTGTCCTTCCCAGAGCGACTCGAAGACAGATGGCCTCCGTCATCCTCGAAGCACGGAAACAGACCAGTCCTGCCAGGTCGCTTGTCACCACACGTGCACTTTGCTGAGGATCACAGGAGACGGCGAGCGACCAAAAATAAAACCCCCAAGACCCAACCTCCCTGGGAAAGACCAACCAGCACCGCTGACAATGTCAAGACCCGGGCTCTTCCTTACGATCCTGCTTGGGCAACGAGCGGAACTTATGCAATAAAACGAAGTCAGTCCTGGAATTATGACTGTTGTCCTAATTTCTCCAACCGAGGACGGCAACAGGCCAGGCCAGCTGACTTCCAGGGCGTACCACGTGTGGGCCGGTTCCTGGCTGGGGCATTTCGACCCTGCATGCCCACAAAGCAGGGAAAGCCACACGGGGCGCCCGGGGGCACCATCAGTGTGAAGCGTCTGATTTCAGATTTTCCTGGTTTCCACCCCAGTCCTGATCCTGGGGTCGGTCATGATCTGGGGTCGTGAGACTGAGCTCCCTGCTCGGCGGGAGGTCTGCTTGGATACGCTCTCACCCCCTGCCCCTTCCCCACTCACGCTTTCTCTCGCTCTCGCAGATAAATAAAAAAGTCTTAAGAAAAGAAGAAAGAAAAAGTGTGACTGCAGTTGTGGGATCCAGCGTGAAGAAGAGCCCGCCACGCTCCACGGTATCGAGAGCAACTTACCTGGTTGGTCACCTGCTGGAGATTGCGGTGGCCCAGTCGGGGGCCGCCCACCTGCTGGCTCCCGCCGTCCCCCCACTCAGCTCACAGACTCACCAGGGAGACAGGTGACCCCGCCTCCCAATGGACCCTGCAAGTCCGGGCACCACCATCTCCAAGCTCCAAGCTGAGCTGACACAGATACACGCCCTGGGAAGGGGACTTTCAACCAAAATACGGGTCCCCGCTGTCACTGCTTAACACACCCTAAAACGTGGCTGTGGAGTTAGAGCACATCCAGCAGGCTGCCTGGGTCCCAGACCGGGTAACGGGAGCCTCTCCCAAGGGAGGAGAGGGTCCAGGTCCTTCTCAGTCTCCCAGAGCATGCAACATGTGGCAAGCACACCCGGCCAGCTGGCTTTCCAAACCTGTGTACGTTCTACCGATGTATTACGCGATAATTATTTCACCCAAACAGAAAGCCCATTTCGTTAAAAACCCACTAACCTTCAGCCTGCCACAAAATTATGTCAATGCTAGAAGACCCAGGAAAGCCAGGGGCCAGACACAGGGAGAGTTAGCAAAATGGGGCCGCCGTTGGCTGCTCAGGCCAGCTCCGGGGTCCCCTTAATGGGGCCCAGGTCCCCTGAGATCACAAGAGCTCAATAGCTCGCTCCCTACCATCTCTGCCAAGACCACGTGGCAGGGTCATCCCTCCTCGATGATATACGCTTCATCTCCCTAACAGAGGCCTCCAGAACTCTCCCTATCTACCAACCCAGACTCCTGCTCAGCGGGCAGCCAGCAGGGAAGGGACGGGATCCCCCACCTCCACGCGGTATTAGGGACCCCAGGAAAAATGACCATGGCCACGGGGACGTCATTCCCCTGGAGGCCCCTGCACACTCAGCCCATCCTCTGAGCCCAGTTGCCTCTGTTCCACTTGTCCTCCCGGCCGGAAGGCTGTTGGGTGAAGGGCACCGTCCCTTCCTTCCGTGCCCTGTGACTCACCAGAGTCCTCTAGCACCACTGACCCCCAGAGCCAGAGGGCGGGCGGGCCGGACTCAGCTTAGAGACCCGTGCAGAGGGCTGGGGGGACAGAAGTGGAAGTCACCCGACACCTCCCGGCTCTGCATGCCGCCCAGCCCGGCAGCCACAGCGAAGAAGCCACAAGAGCCGGTGTGAATGCGTGGCTTTAGGACCACAAACCAGACAAGGCCGTGGCAAAACCCAATGCTTCCACCTGTGGGGACAATAGAACAGCTCACGGCCAAGGACGCTGAAGCTGAAAGTGTTGCCAAACACTTTCCACATTCTCGCGATGCCCATTTCCCTCCCCAGCAGGTCAACCGGGCGACTGGAGATGTTTGGTCCCTGCTCGACCCCAGTGGGCGCCCGCCTGAAGCAGGCGCATCCAGGGCATCCCAGGGCCACGAGGAGGCTCCGTCTGGGGCCACGAAAGGTGCTGACTCTAACACCTAGTTCTCAAAGGCCTCTTCGCTGGGGGGCCCCACGGTCTCAGCCGGGTGCCACACGCACAAGGTGAACATCTCCTCGGATCCCAGCTCCATCCCCTTGGACGGGGTGCGGGGGGGGGGGGTCACCATAGGCCCTTTGGGGTGGTGACTACATACAGGTGCCAAACGGGGCCGGTCACACCGGCGGTCACCGCAGACGTGAGGCAGGTGGACGGACTGAAGGTTACTGTTTCCGCATCAGCTCCGGTAACTACAGGTAAGAAAACTCCGTGATAAACAGCACGCACCTGGGCCCGGCAGACAACTGTTCTAAGAAAGTCAGGCTCGAGTGAGAGGACATTCTGATCACTACGTCCCCCCTGAGTATGAAGCCCGACCCCGGGAAATAAACTGGGCCTCCTGGGCTCAGGGCAAGGTCCCCCCGCCCCCAAGCCCTGCTCTCCTCCTGAGCCAGCGCCCTGTAGTGCTGAGGGGTCCACATCCTCCCCCACTCCTGAGGGTCAGGGCCTATGGAGGTGGGCAGCGGCAGCCACTCCCATGACCTCCTGTCCAGACGCAGCAAGTGCCTTTACGCTCCAGAGTAACACACTCGTGTCTCCCGTCCCAGGCTAGCCAAAACCATACCAGCCTCCCAGAGCACATGGGGTACTCAAGCCCCAACAAGGAAACGTGCTAAGTTGTACAGAAACTGAGCCTCGCAACCTAGAAACTGGAACATTCCAAGAAGCTGTTAGTGCCAGGGTTTTAAGCCACGATACACATAACCTATCACAAAGAAGGTCTGGGAATAAGAGCCCCAGACCTGTCCTTCGAGAACAACCTACTTCTCAGTAACCAGAGCTTCTCAATTCCGTACTAGTCACCGGAAGCACGAGGTGGTCTAGAGACTGGACGGTGGCACTCCATGTGGAACTGTAACCACCTGCTTACAGTTCCGCCTGCCTCTGGGATGACCTCAGCAGCAGTGCCAGACCCAAGGCCCTCCGTGCTGAAGGCCCAAAACAATCAACGTCTGGTGAAACTCATTGCCGCCGAATTCCCTGAGGTCTGGCCACAAAGCCAGTCTTTGTTTCTTAAACTCGCCAAGCCCATCTCCCCGAGTGCCCTCCGCTCGCCATCCCCCACCGTCACCCGAGGCCCCTGCACGGGGCTGGTGTCCCTCTCGGAGGTCTGCAGCCACCCCGCTCCCTCTGGCTCCCTCCGGCTCACAATGCTGTGAGGTGGCTCCGGCTGGTCCCGCAAGAGCAGAGACGGGCGTCCCGTCGCAGCCTCGGTCCTGGCATGCCTGCCTGGGTGCGGAACGTGAAGGGCAGAGACGCAGAGGCGACAAGCGTGGAGATGAGAGAGCAAGAGGGACCACATCACTCACGCCGCACTGTCCCCAGCTCTCCGGAAAAAAGTGCTCAACCCGGCCTGAGGTCTCATGAAGCCTCCTCAGGACACCTTTAAAGATGAACTAGGTAAGGCCTGGGGTTACAGAGAGAATGTGCCACAGGGTGGTAAGCTCAGCAGGGAGAGAAGGAACGATGCTGAGAAGAGGCAGGGGTGCGTCCCATAACCACGGCATCGGAAACCATCGCAAGCACCTGCCACCACCGAGGTGGGAAACGAGGGCACCATTCGTCACTGATGGAAACGCCGGGGTTTTCAGACCCCTGCACTTGACCGACGGAGCCGCGGAGCCGTGAGCGCTCACCGAACAGGAAGCGTCACGTCTGGAGAAAGAAACGTTCCTAAAACCACCAAAGCAAGCGGACACTACACACATGCGGAGTTCTGGAACGAAAGAGAAGACGTTTAACAGCTCAGCCCCTTATCCAGGAGGCTCAGAGGCTGGAAAGTTGCAGACTTTCAAACTCCCTTAGACAAGAGGGAAACTGAACACCGACAAAACACACAGGGCCTAAGGCCCCCCAGCGGTGATCCGGAGGGGACGCCACGGTCTTCCCGTATGGGGCTTTGTAAGGCTCACTGAGCAACTCCGCGAACTCCAGTATTTCTGGAAACACCTGTCATTCAGCCACGCAACGTCCACTCGAAACTCAGATTTAAGTCGTCAACAAGAAGCTGGTGATAAAAACAACGTGATTCTGGGTTTTCCAGGCTGGGCTTTGTTCCAAGCACTTGCCTTGTGCCTGACTGGGAGATGGTCTGCAGTCACCCTCCCCTCCTTGGGAAGGAAGGTGAGGGAGGGTCAGGGAGGTTCCCTGGCCTGCCCCGGGACAAGGCTGGTGACCACGTCCGGGAGGCAGGAGAAGGGTGGGAGGTACCGCAGGGGAGCCGGGCACCCCCGCGATCAGAGCGACTGGAAGCTGACCACGCACACCCCAGCACTCGACCGCCCCCTTGCCAAAACAGGTACTTCCTCATCCACACCCAAGGCCCACCCGCCGAAGGGAAAAAATGGCCAGAGGAGGTGGAGGGGAGCAAAATGCCCGGGACGCTGGTTCCCAGGGCTCCTGACGCTGCCCAGCGCACGGACAAGCCCCGCGTGCCAACATGAGCGCGAGCTCCAAGCGCGACTGCCAACGCTCGGCACCAGACACCGGGCAGAGGCGCGGACGGCACTTACCAATCTGTAAGAGGACCGGTGTGACCAACGCCGTCTCCATGGCGTAACAGAACTCCCTGCCAAACATCACGGCCCCGTGCATCACCCACAAGCGCACGGGGATCCGGTCTATGGACCCCTCGCTGATGGTCTCCTCGCGGGCGTCGGCGCTGCCCCGCTTCTGCAGGTCCGGCAGGGCCACGGGTAGCTCCTGGACCTGCACAGACTCCGAGTCGGCGTTCTGTGGGGCCATTCTCATTACCACCAGAAACATAGATAAATGCGTGGATATGGATCTCCTCTGCCTGTACAGATAACGCTATCGGGTATCGTTAAGGATAAGTGAGGACGCCTTCTCTCCCCGCGTCAGTGGTGTTCCTCTGGCGAGCGGTGCTTATATCCCTCCGTGTACAGAGATCTCTCAACTTCTCACGAACGGGCGAGGCACGCAGCAAGACGAAATGATGTTTAGTCGGACTGTAAGCACACGGCTTGCTGGTTTACTGTGAATTAGAGTTAAAAATCCATAATTGCCATTCAGTTAATACTAGCTCCATCATCGTTATCGAAGCAGTGCTGAAGTTATTTTTCTTGCTACAGAGAGGTGGGAAGGTGACACAAGAAGGGGGTCCGCCGTTGCTCCCCATCGAGCGACTGGTTGATCTGCAAAAGAGGAAAACAACCCCAGCAGAGAGTCAGTCAGGGGCAGCCGCCATGTGGCCTCCCACCCCCTGGCTGTCCAGGTGCTCTGTGGACTGGTTCTGGGCCACCCGGGAGACCCCGACCTTGGATCGCCACAGCTCTCTGGTGCTGCCTCCGGCTCAGCCGTGGAGAAGACAAACCCTGACTCCTAGAGAAGCGTCTTCTTGTATGATCTGATCCCGGGTTGGGGTGAAGACAGGACAAGGAAGGGCAGACAGCAGGAGAGGGCTCAGCTTTTGGCTCCTGAGACAGTGAGAACTAGCAAGAATCAGCAGCCTCTGGGCGTGGGAAGAAGAGGCTGGGGAGGCAGGGAGGCCGGATAAAGGAGCAGAGATGCCGCCCAGGAGTGGACAGCAGGGAGGCGGGTCGAGCAAGGATGGGCGGCTTGCCACCCGCAGGGCAGGGGCAGTGGGGATGGGGGGTGTTCCAAGCCCACCAAAAGGCAGCTGAGTGAGTGCTGTGGTCTGTCTACAGCGGTGGTCTTTGACCTTGGCGGGTTACGGCCCCTCTCCAGGAGAAAAGGGCCTGCATCGCAAACTCGAGTATCTTGTCTAGGGGCTCACAGACTCCCAACCCACACATGCCGTTCCTACCGGTGACCAACTCTTGACCCTGGCCCCACATTCCCACTGTCCTGGCGCCTCGATGGGCTTGGGAGCACATTCTGTACCCACAGGACACACCGCAACAAAGCATCCACCCTACCCTTCTACTAGAACTTGCCCCTTAGAAAGGTTTTAGGAAAATGCAAGGCAGACTAAGGACACAGCCCCACCCAACCCACACGCTTGGCCAGATGCAAGCCCCAGGCACCGGGGTTCTCTTCACCCTGACCTGCAAGAGAAGAGGGGCCCTGAAATCACACCACTGCCTTCCCATCTTGTTTTAAGGTCGGTCTGTGAGTTGAAATCTTACCAGAGATTTTCAACAGCTCGTTTACATAAAAATACTTCTAGTTAATACTCACTAAACCCAGGATGGACTTCATCAGTTCCTTCTCCCCTTCCCCCAAGAACCGGTGAGCAACCAGGGGCAGCCTTCACATGGAGCGGCCCCTCAGGGAGCCCTGGAGGCCATGGCAGGGCCCCAGCCCTTCCCTCACCCCGCCACCACGGCAGGGCTCCCTCCCGGTCCCTTCCCGCTGCCACGGGAACATCTTTGGGGCCCACAGGTACGCGTCCTGTCTTCACGGTGCATCCTGCACACCTCCTACCCCGTGCCCCTTCGCTTCACTCCAACGACCCCCGTCCTCAAGACAGCTCTCAGAATGCCCCAAGTGCCGCCTACCACCTCACGGCTCGATCAAAACCAGGGGGTTGAGGGCGCCTGGGTGGCTCAGTCAGTGGAGCAGCTGACTCTTGGGGTCACCTCAGGTCATGGTCCCGGGGTCGTGAGATGGAGCCTGCTTGACGCGCTCCCTCTGCCTCTGCCCCTCCCGCCTTGCGCGCGCTCGCACTCGCTCTCTCTCAAAACTAAACAGAAACAACCAGGACTTCTAACTAACCTCAATCTTTTAAAAAATGTGTTATGAAACTACTTCTAAAATACACAGTAAACAAAACAGCGTTAAAAAGAACAATAAACCCAAGCTGTCCGGCATTAATAATCGCCAATACCCGCTGTTCCCACTCCCTCGCTACCTTGGGAGAGATCCCTGTCCTAAGAAAATGGAGGAGAAGAAATCCATTTGTCAACCCGTCAATCTTACATCAAAATAGGGTCCGTGGTTTTTGTGGGTTTTTCTTCAAGATTTTATTTATTTATTTGTCAGAGAGTGAGAGCGAGCACAGGCAGGCAAAGCGGCAGGCAGAGGCAGTGGCAGAAGCAGGTTCCCCACCAAGCAAGGAGCCCGATGCGGGGCTCGATCCCAGGACGGGGGGATCATGACCTGAGTGGAAGGCAGCCGCTCAACCAACTGAGCCACCCAGGCATCCCTGGGTCCACAGTTTTAAATGCCCTTTTCCACCAAATAAGATAGATCATTTTTATGTGAGGGACACGTACCCCACACAGGTTTCCAAAGCCCACATTGATGACCCGGGGTTTTAGGGGCAGGAATGACGATCATCATTTTCCAAGAACCCTAGCGACTTAGTCACGAACACACAGCCATCCAGCTCAGTCCCTGCACTGCTGCCCAGGGCTGCCGCCATCCTGACACCCATGTCTTGAACAAGGGCGGCCTCTGCCAAGGCCACGTCCACACCAGCGAGAAATCAGGCGGCTGAGCTCCACACTAGGTATCTGCGAGCTCTCCAAAGGCCCTGGTCTCCGGGAACTCTGCCCCTCTGAGGACAGCAGCCGGCGTCTGGACAGGTTCCCAGCGTGGGTGGGGGCCAGGCTGCCACTCAGCGCAGCCCCACGCTAGAGAATGATCTGGCCCCCAGGGTCAACCAGATCAAAGCTGAGAAAACTGTTTGAAGGTTATTATGAAATGGGGAAAAGTCTCCTCCAGAAATGCGGAAACATTACATTTTACACGATTACATTTTGAATCCATCAACTGGGCCAGATGTGGCAAACTCAACGTCATCGCCTCTTCGTGGAACCAAATCAGTCGTTGCTCAAAGTGGACGGGAAAATGCTGGCGGGCCCAAGCCACACTCTCCCAGAGCGGGAGAAGTGGCCTCTGAGATGCAGCCTGCGGCACGGAGAAGGGTGCCAGCAGTTCCCTCCCGAGAGCCTAACCATCTCTGGGGAATTCTCCAGAAAGCCCCAGCTCGCCGCCACAGTATCCGGCGACATGTGCTCAGGTGGCGTGTCTGAGGGCCCCTCTCGGGCTCAGCCCTCCCTGGAAATCGGGCCGTGGCCCCACCCGTCACGCGATGGGCTCTGGCCTGTACCTCCGTCACATGACCCCAGCCCGGAGAGGGACAAGCTCCCGGGGCAGAGGCCGCCACCCACACTTCATGTGTCTCTGCACCTCCCAGGTGCCCGGCCGCACAGCAGGAGCCCGGGGAGGTCCCGGGAAGAGCAGATGAACACATGAATGAACGAATGCGTGAGGGCCAGCTAACCGCTGACCAGAACGTCCCAGGGGCTGCGCGCTGTGTAGACCACCCCCGCCCGCACCCCCGCCCGGGCAAGGGCGTCAGGCTGCAGGGAGGCCCGCGTGAGATGGCATGAGCGTGGCGGGGGTTTACCTGTCGTTCAGGGTGGCTAAGCGCTAACACAGCTGGCTTCCCTCCTGCGCAAGCGCAGTGGCAGTGACCAGGTTTTACGCGCGCGACCTGTCATCTACAAGGATGGAAACGACAAACACCGTTGGCGTCTTCAGGGAGTCTGCTCCGTGGGCAGCAGCTAGTAAACCCCGTCCGTCTGCGCCTCACGGCCCTACAGAGCCCCACATCCGCACTGTCAAGCCAAGGCAGCAGCGCTGCACCAGCGGCACAGTCCCCAGAGCGAAGCCGCTGTCCCACTGGTACCTTCCAATGGGGCTCAACTAACAGCCCGTCAGCAGACAGCGGGCTCCGTCCAGATCTGGCCGAGCCGGTTCAGAGCCAGGCGTCCCCGAGACAACACCTGGGCACCCATCGGCAGGTATCGCCTGGCGGAGCTGGGCTCTGGCCGCTCTCTGCAAGCCCTGGGGGTCTTACAAGCTTTCAGGGGGTGACAGAAGACACTTTACAAACCGAGTTTAGGCATCATGCACTTGGAACCACGAACACTGGGTACCTGAGATCGAAACTGAACAGACCCGCGGCAAGCAAGGCCGTAGGGGCAGAGCCCGCACAAGGCGGAACAGCCCGAGGAAGCAATTCTGCTGAAGAGCCACGGTCGAGGCGTGTCGGGGGCGCCCAGTCAAGCGGCCAACTCCTGGGGTCGGCTCAGGTCATGATCTCAGGGTGGGGAGATCGAGCCGGGCATCAGGCTCCACGCGTGGCCCCAAGTCTGACTGGGATTCTCTCTCTCTCCCTCTCCCTCTCCCACTCCCACTTGTGTGCTCTCAAATCAATCTGCAAACAAAAGCCGCGGTCAAAACGTCCACAGCACGTGGGAGACGTACCAGCCCATTCTGAGACCCCCAGAGGGACAGAGCACGATTCACAGACTCTGGGTCAGGCTGTGCACACAGGCTGTGGGTTGTCCAACTCAGCCATTAGTTCGCAGTGACAACTCGTGGAGCACGTGTGACATCTCGGACACATGTTCTTGTGTGTGGTGAGGGAAGGACACACCGTTCTCTTCTCACAGTGGCCATCGGATCGTGTCAACGGCATTTATCTGGAAGTCCACTCCCGCCACTCTGAGATTCCTCTTTGTCCCCCGTCAAATTTCCACCAGTACCTGGGTCTGTTCCCCAGGTTCCCGTTCCGTCCGACCGTCTGCTGCCCGTGCCCAGTAAGCCGCCGCTGTAAGGACAGAGGGTTCTGGAGCTTTCAGACTCTGCCGGGGCCGTACCCTCTCACGGCTTCTTTCCCCAGCACTCCCCTATTTCTTCTTGCTGGCTGGTATACACGCAGACGAGCTTGAAGAGCTGGACTAGCTCAGGAAAGAAGTAGCTTCTGTTGGTAATTCTTATTGTGATTCCATTAATTTTATACATTGGTTGAGGGAGGACCTCTGTGTACCCTCAGCCGGAGGAGGATGGGCTTTCTATTTGTCCGAGACCACCTCGGTGCCTCTCGTGAGAATTTCAAAATACTCTTTCCACAGGCTTTGACCATTTCTAGTTAAGTTTCTTCCTAACGATTTTATCTTTTTTTTCTTCGTGGGCACTGTAAACAGGATTTTCTCTTCCCTTGTACTCCAACTGTCTCGTCATCTTACAAGAAGGCTAGTAAGTGTTCTCTGTTCATTTGCTCGGGCAGGACTTACACATGATGAAATCAAGCCACATTCAGTCTGTCAGACTTACACTGACATAGAACACTTCCAATACTCTGGCATGTCCCCAAGTGTCCCTTCCCCTATAGTTAAGGCTAATGACTTTCACATTTTAATTTGGTAGTCTACTTCTT